ACCAAGTCTTCATGAAGGAAAAATTTGTTAAAATTCCATAACATAATGTTTAATCAGTTTGATTAGAAGTCCAATGATTTTGGATTGTTGAAGTTTTTTTTTTATCTAATTGTTAACCTGCAGAATATAATCCACACTCAGAACAGAAGATTCGCCCTTCACTGCGTTGACTGCATAGCAGAAAGAGAGATTTTACAGAATAAAACCTTATGCGCTTACCACATCACAATTTTTTTGCGGCCACATGTTTGTCTTATTCACAAAGCGACGTTAGTTCAACCCATACTTTGCACAGGCAACATCAAGTGAAATAAAACTCCAAATAAAAAAATAATGTGTCAGATCGCAGAATAATCGAAATGGAAAGTGGTACATATATTCTTTATACCAAAACCAGAATTGGCCCGTAATGAAACTAATTATGCCGAAACATCCAAGGCAGAAATCTACTGGAGTTTTTTTATAATCATGGTACGATCAAATGTGTATAGAAGTCGTATCACAGTTTATAAGTGTAGAAAAATTTAGATTTTTTTAAATATTCTAAATTAATTGGCAATATTTGCATCTCACAAGTGATTATATATAACTTAAGTCTTAAATGATATTTGTCCGTCTTAAATGATTATTAAAAAGGAATAGAGTTCCATTAATTTATACTTTAAGTGATACCGTTGCGTTTTATCAAAGATCATCATTTACATTGGCTGTTACACATGTTTTTTTGTGCATTAATGATCATTACCAAGACTTTGGCTATTCTTCTTCATTACATGGTGTATGTAATGTAAGAGATAGTCTTTGATGAAACAGAAAAACGCTAGGAATGGATATGTGAGAACAATCCAGAGGCCGCTCTCAATAACAGAATCAAAGCTATATTTTACATTGCTTGATGTTAAGATAATATACCTCTCTCGCTAGCATAACTTCATGGTGTAACATTACAATATTGTGGTCAACCAGCATACTCTGAATTCGCCGAAATTACTTTCTGCGTGGGAGCCGCTAAATGATCAGTGTAAGTTTTTATTATCTTATTTTGTTTTGATCTAATGCTATGATGAATTTTTGGTACCGTGGAGGTATGTTCGAATGAACGCAAAACAACGGAACAATACGATACTATTAGTTATTTGGATTGAAACCATATTGTATTATTCTTTATTTGTTTACTATTTTTTTGATCTGAAATTGAGAATGGTACCATACATGCAAATTTTGTTCATGAATCCGCATTGTAAGACATTAATACAAATATAATAATAGCTTATGAATTTCTTAAATACAATTGCGGTTATAATGTTATTTATATAACTGCTACCTATTTTTACCTTTAGTAATATTATCGCTAATTTTCTTTTAAATGATTTTTGCATGTATTATCGATAGTTTTGTTATTTCAACTTGATTCGAATGCAATTTAAATTTTTTATTGCGAATATGTGTATTCCTTGATCATATTTACCATTAAAGTTTTCCTTATGAGTCAAACCCCATTTAGAATTCTATTACCTTCTTTAAAATGTTATGATGAATCAATTGATCTGAAAATAATCATCATTATGAACTCAGAATAGATCAGTAAATAAATTTTTGATTTCCCCTTGTAACTGCGTTTGCTACCTATGAATCTGGGGATACTAAGAAACTATTATTTTATTCTTTTGGATTCTTTATAAATGTAACCATGGTCGGGAGGGCTTAAGAGCACATAAACAGCTGTAGCTCCAAATCATTTGATATGTTCCCTTTTCGCAAAATCTCCATTATTTTCATCTTTCTCTAATATTTGTTTTTTTAGATCTGAATCTATATTTCTGTAGACTATCATCATAATTTATCGTTTAATTCATCCATATATCGATTCACTCGAAATAAATTGTTAGTGCACGCAAATTCTTATTGAAATATGAATTGTGTACCGTGGAAATACAAACTTGGCAGCTGATGAACCCAACCCCACCGACGAGCCACCTATGGTTTGCTTAACATCATCCACTTTCTTCGAACAGTTGTATGCTACACAATTTTAGCTGCTTGACTTGCATTTTCACCTTTGTCAAAGAAAAACTGTAAAGTGTTGCAAAAGCCACGAAAATAAAAACCAAACCCCATTAGTTTTGACGACCCCCACAAAAGTATAAAGGACCACGAACTGCGAATCTGCACTTGGAATGTGCGAACGTTTTCGCTTTGGTGGATGTACTTAAGGAGTACATTTCCATACAGGAAATGTGATGGAAAGGGAAACGTATGTTAATCAGATGATTATTATAGATGCCAAGAAACGAGCCATGAATTTGGCTGCCGGATTTATGGTTAACTGGAGAGTATCTTAAAGAGTTTAATGTGAGTACCTGCCTATTGGCCTACCTCGCAGTGGCTGAGCCACAGGCGGATATGCGCCCACCAGCACCGAAGTGCTGTACCAATCGGAGAGCAGAAGGCACACTCTCCCCCTTGGTGAGGGGCGAAAGTTAACTCGTCTCCAGATTCACACCAGTAGATAAGAGAATTGCTATTTCGTTGAACGTCCCCACGCCTCACTTTCCCAACCCTGCCGACCGAGGGGGCGACCTCCCCTTTCGTAGGGATCGCGTACAAACCATAATCCGCATCATAATGGAATATGAGAAGGGAATAGAAAACCAGCTATAGAATCTACTTCAACTGCCAATTTATTATGAAGCTTCATTTAAAAATACAATTAAATTAGATTTTATAAGTTCTTCATTCTTGCAAAAATTAAAATCAGTACACATTTTACTGAGTGGATCTCCCATAGAATAATTTGTACGATGAAAATCTACATATAATAGTTGATAATATCTACTAGATCGAAAAGGAACATTTATTCTAATAGATGAAATGAGGAAATCTGAGGGTACATTACTATTTAATATTTTTAGTAAAAACGAAGTTCTTCTACATCAGTCTTATTTGCGTCCATGCTCCGACGGAAGACAAAGCTGAACAAACCAAAAACATTTTTACGAACGCCTAGAAGCAATTAGATCTAGCAACGGGAAATGTAATTGACCATGTTGTGATAGACGGAAGGCATTCGTAAAGAGTTTTAGACGTTCGATCGATACGAGGAGCGAATATCGATTCGGAGCATTACCTTAATGTTTCTGCAAAGGTGCGATCTAATGGTACACGGAAACTTGACGTCGAAAAGCTGAAAACAAAACAGGTAGCAGACGCCTACTCCGCTTAACTTATCCACTTGCACTCCTTGCCTCGATAATAATATAAAGGAACAATGGCAAAGAATTGTCCACTCCCTACAAACTGCAGCAAAAGCAACAATTGGGTACCAAGAAACCCATGGTATGAGTGTGTCGTAATGCTACTGAGTTGAAAAACGCGTATTGGGCAACACTGTAGACAGTAGCAACACGACGCGGTAGAAAAGGAGATACGTATTTTCAGAAAAAATAAGCAGAAATTAAGATGGAAACCTGGTGATAGATATATACAGTATGTTGATGATCTGTAGGCCTATTCTGTAACATTTTAACAACATTCGACATTGTTTATTTTACAAGAATTGCATTTGTTTGTTATGTTGTTTTCACAATAACAAAAAAAACTAAACAATATCGAATGTTGTTAAAAGTTACAGAATAGGCCTACTGCAAGGAGCATTTTGCAAAGCTTCTGTTATCAAATAATAACTGTGAAGAACGTTATAGATTGTGTGCCACCTAGTCATCCTGGAAATACATCGACACATTCCACCTTTTCGTCGATTACAAATCCACATTCGACAGTCCAATATTCTCAGAGGCTTTAAAAACCATGTATGATTTTGGCATTCCTACAAAATTAATACGACTTTAACTGGCACAATGTCTTTCAATAACGAACAACGATTCAGACAAGGTGATGGTTTGTCGTGTGAAGTTTTTAATATCCTGCTGGAAAAGGTCATACGAGATGCAAATGTGAACAGAAAAGGTATTCTGGTCACCAAACAGCCTATGTTACTCGCCTTCGCCGACGACAGCGACATAATGGGTCGAACAGTGCGAGAGGTAACAGCTACATTTGAGAAGGAGTCGTCAGTAAATAGCGAGAATACCAAGGTGATGGTATCAACGCGTAGGACGTCCAGTAGACTCGGACCAACTGTTGAACTTGAAAACTACAGTTTCGAGGTAGTCAAAGTTTTTATATATCTCCATATAGTAATATATATAAAATTAATGACATCAGCTTTGAGAGTTTCAGAGAAAAATTCGCCGAAAGATCTGTGGGCCGATCTGCGTCCACGATGAATATCGCCATTGAATGAACCATAGCAGTAGACGAGCTGTATCGACTAAGTTGTCTAGGTCATGCTGTGAGAATGGATGATGTGGCATATAAAAGCGAGCCAACTGATAGTTCACGCAGAAGGGAAAGGTCACGAATTCGATGGAAAATTAAGTGGAAGACAACATTTCGGAAAATGGCCATTTTTGTTTATTTCAACCAGAAATATAATTAGAATGAGAGAGCTATAATATTGTGCATGTGTACAACAACGTTTTAAATCCACAAAAAAAAAAAACGTGTCCACATTGAATAAATTAAAACGTCAAAAAAATAACATTCGATCTCGTAGATCACAAATTTTAAATCGTCCGGGTTTATGTTACGGGTCCACCAGATGTCAGTCTTATAGACATGCCATACAATCAAAATAATTTAATAGTAAGATTTGTTAATTTTAGACTCATAGGATCACGTCACATTTGCTGTTCTATACAGAATTTATATAAAATGTAAAACTAACTCACGTCATTCTAGAGTTAATACGATAACTGTGGAAAGAATAAGGTAGGCCATTATGCTTGTTACAGTATGTTTGAAATTATTGGAAGAAATTTGACATTTAAATTGACATTGCGAACGGAAGTTGTTAAACTGAGTTAATTAAGACACATTCGCCTTTATTATACATAACTTTTTAATTATACAAGTTTTAAGAACAGCGAATTCATACTTACCACATAAATTAATGTTATTCCATTATAACTAAAAAGATGACGAATAATACTCTTCATTGTTCATACATGTGTCTGTGTATCTGCATTGGTATTTGTTTCGCGCCTAATCACCTGAAAACAAAAGAAAACCAAAAACGAAACATAAAAATTAGGAGGAAAAAAATAAAACAATTAAATAAATGACAATAATTAATTTTACAATACAATGCGAGCGTTTATTGTTATGCAAATACACACTGCGCATAAAATGGGCAACCATCGATCGGATGTGTCGCTGCGACAACGGTAGTTATCAATGGTGGTGATCTGTAAAATAAATTTAAAAAAAAATCAATCAAACGCTCTGGTCACATCCAGACCCATTAAATGAAAGAAAACATTGCCAAAATAAGGTGTTAATTTGTTTGTAGGCAATAAAAGCCATCCCGTCGGGCTAAGGTGTCATTCGATGGATGTCGATAAATAAACAAAATTAAGTTAAATTGGTGTTTAGTTTGGAGTTAAGTGGTTGTGAAAGCGAACGACGACCCATTGGCGTTGATTTTGGATTTTGTCATTTCGAATTTAGCAAATGTTTGCCTGTGAATTATTTTGTAGGCGAAACATGAATTTTGCAATCACAGATAAACCCAAAAACTAAAATACACAGGTTCATGTGATGTAATATGTTGGCACTGTGGACAACACTATATTGGGTGGCGGCCGAATTTTTTATATTCTCCGCCAAAGATGTAATGACAGTTACTAAGTTATATTTCATATGCAATGAAAAATGGAGCTGTATGTTAATGCACCTATAAATCAACATACAACTCGCAGGAAATACTATATTTCAGCAAGAGTTGTAATGAATTTTTCTAAAATCTCAAAAACCCAAATATGTGGACCTATATTGAGAACGTTTGGTGGGTCGAACATCCTCAGAGCAATGCAATGTTAAACTGTTAAATGAGACTGTACCCAAAGATAGATCAATATTGATTATTATTAGTAGGAATATTTGAAATGACAGTAAATACTAAACGTAGTGAGGATTCATTTTCCAACCCTTTAGCTTTGAATCTTAATTCCATCGGAAGAAAGTATGATTACAGCAGATGTACAGACATGGCAAAATCGTTTTCCAATTTCAATTTGTAGAATAGAAAGATACACAAACCACTAGTTTAATATTAGCAATTAACAAGTGAATACTCCCAGCCTATGGCAAAGTTTGGTATCGACCGTTCTCTTCACCTGAATTTCGATTTAAAAATATTGAAAATTTTGATCATATGTGGGGGAGATACCAGAAGGAGTATACCAATGAGTCGCATTTTTCGACTTGCTCTAGGCTTTGTAATGATAATAGGTTGTGCACATTTTGGTTCCAATCGGACATTTCATTTGCCTGATATTAAATTTATAAATATTATAAATTTTTACCCTTTGTGTTGGAGGTACCTGAAGGAGTGGACCAATGGGTCTCATCTTCCTACTTGATCTAGGCTTGGTAAATATAAAAGGTTGTACAAAGTTTGGTTCAAATCGGATTTTTGCACAATTATGACCATTTTGTGGGGGAGGTACCTGAAGGAGTCGACCGATGTTCCCCATCTTCGAACTTAAACTATGTTTAGAAAAAATATTAAGATGTGCAAAGTTTAGATGAAATCGATTACTCCCTTCGAGAGTTGTCGTAAGCAAAATCCGGCCAGAAAAACGGATTTGGCCCAAAGAAACATGAGGTCTTAAAACAATATTTCGATGAAGCACATTTTCACCGTATCAAAGTGTATATACCCTCATTAGCCATAAGGCTGAGGGTATAAAAATGTCATTAAGTTCGGACTGTTGGAACTTTTTAAACCACCACCAATAAGCCGAAAATTAATGGGAGCATTTGTAGGGGGGATACTTAAAAGCTAAAATATCGCAAATATATGGATATATAGAGAGCAATATTTAACGCCTCAAAGAAACTTAAATATCAAATTAGAGCCAATTCAGTTTAAAAACATGCCCAAAATCTTAAAATATTGAATAGTGCGTGGTACTGTTATATGGGGACTAACCAATATTGAATACAAGCGTTTTCCAACCAACTTGGATCTAATTTCACATTTTGGCTTTCCATTGAGGAACCCAAATATCGGTCTTCCTTTGGGATATGTACAATTATAATCCCAGTTTTTGGTATTTTTAGTATAACTGATATTTTAAACAATGGAACTGCCTATTATTTTTATATTATAAGTTCTGTAAACTCATAATTTTCGGTATTTTGAGATTTTTGGACACGTTATTTAATCATTGCGATGGAAATGTTTCTATTCTAAAAATGTCAGCATTTGTCCATCGGTATAGCATCTATATAAACCTCCGCAGTGCATACATACCTTTTAAAGAAATAACTAAAAAAATAGCTGATAGAAGAGATGGCGGAAATATAAACCTTTGCTATTCGAAAACCAGAAATAAAAGAAAACGCCCGTTTGTCTAAACGGTTGCCACCGAACTACTTTGAAAATAAACACAATTTTTGGTTTTAATTCTCAATGAAAAGAAAACCAGAACAGTGTGACATATCTACTTTGTTTTGTATTATATTAATTTGCTGTCATAATATATGGTGACATTCGATATAATCGATTTCGAAATAAGACATAACTACGTTAAATGTTTTGTGTTAATAGCTGTAATTAATAAATCAGATTTAATGCAGATTAAATGACTACTTTCATAAATCCGATAATTGTAAACAGGTGATAATAAATATTTATCGAACGAGAACTATCATTCAATTTAATTGCAGGTTTTCAACACACAGCCACAGCAATTGGTGGCACTTCGAGATGCCAGCTATGAATTATTACTATAGCACCCAGCACGCTTTTCATTAGTTTATCAGCGATGGAAGGCTGTCGAGACACAGCTTGCTAACAGCTTACTAGTATGCACATATAGACACTCAGCAGTCAGTCAGTCAGTTAGCCAGTCAATCAGACTGCTCGGTGTATCATTCAATCGAAGTTCGTGTTGTCGTTTTATTCAATGGAATCAGACAGGTTTTTTTGTTCTCTTTATTCTGATGCTGCACTTTTTTCTAATTTGTTATTAGTTAACATTTAAAATTTAGTCGTCAATTAAATCTTATTTGCGATGTCGATGATTAATGAATGTTGCAGCAAATACTAGTGCAAATAATTTGAAGATGATGCACTCACTCGTCCGACCAACAATGACGAAGTAATCATGTCACTCAAACAAAAACATGGAAGTATTTGAAAATACATATTTAATGGAAAGTGTTTTTCACATTTATGTGTGAAATTGTTGATATGAACTTATCATACAGTCTATGCTGTATAAATTATGGAGGTGATATGTTGAAGCTAAATGTGATGAATGAAATAATTTATAAAAAGAAACAGAGATCAAAGCGTAGACATGCTAATTGTGCGGACATCTGTAAATCGACTCCAAATTGCCTGAAACGGATTTGGTCCAAAAAAACATGGGGTCTAAAACCAATACAGATCAAGTTTCCAAAAAGGGAATTAACTCCTGACCATTTTCGTGTTTGATCTTTCGACCACGATTATCACAAAAAAGTACATCCTTGAAAATGTGTCTTTATATATACGAATAATCGGTTTAGTACGTCCATTGCTGCCAACCATTGTACCTCATAACATTAATTTCGTTCGGTGTACCAAAGTTCCTATATATATATATATATATATATATCGGTTCAGATTTAGATATAGCTCCCATATGTATTTTCTTCCGATTTTATGTAAACTGTGCACTCAAGTCTCGTTGAAATTGGTTTATTTTTAGATAAAGCTCCTAGAATTTTAGATATAACACTAGAATGGCGTAAGTTGCAGATTTAGCATAGGTTGCAGATTGATGTTAGTCGGTTGACTTATAGATAACGTCACATATTGAATTTTTCAGTTTCCCTCGAAGGAACATGAAATTGTTAGGTCACATATTTGGAATATACCCAAAGTGGTGAAGGGTATCAACAGTCGGCCCTGCCTTCTTTACTACTTTACTTACTAGTTATGATTGCCGTAAGAGACAAATTCACTCTGATACATTTATCAAGAATTCTCCTTACTCCTTTCCATTAAAATTTTCACTGATGTGTGTAGTTGCAGTTTATGATTTGTTATAGAAAAAGGCAATTTATGTGCAAAGAAGATGAAGACTTCTACAATCGCTGAAGATTTCAAAGAACTATCTATAGTTCTGAATGACATCTCCAATAAGCTTGATTCGGCTCAAGCAAATGTCGGCCGCTCCTAATTATTCTGTGGCATGACTTGATAACACTTTGTGAAATTCACGTACATATCCAATGCCATGAACTAAAATGTTTCTATATAAACTTGCCACAAAGATAATGATTACTGTGTTCTGAATCCGCCGTTCTCCTTCCTATTTAGCTCTCAATAATTTCGTTAATGGCAGACATATACATACAAACAACATCGAATCCTAGTTTTCTGTATTTTTTATAATAACAGATTTTTCGAAAATAGGTGACAAAATCAGATTGCAAACAATTATCAGATTTTAACATTGTAGAGACAAAACTACTTCACGTACCCATATCAAATTTCATATTTATTCTAAATGAAGTGTTTTCTATCAATCCCCTCCTTGGTTATGACCATTTTTGGACGCGGTCGTAACACTGTCATACTGGAAAACACCAAGTGCGATGATAAATATTCACATTTTCATTATTAGTCTAGAAATATACACAGGAAAACTTTAATAAAAGGGAGTAGCCGACTTGGTCCTACGGTATAATCCTTCCAATCAAAAAGTGTCATCATTTTTAAAATTTGTAAAAGAAGTTGATTGAAAACCATAAATTTCATAATTTTTTTTGTAAGGTACTGTAGCATGGTAAAATAAACATCTGGCAACAAACAGACTTTCATAGTTTATTGTTGTTGTTGTTCCTTTGTGACACGTACTAACTTGGCTGTTAGTGTAATATTTTTAACAGTTTATCATTATTAATAGATTCCGTTGTCTCTCTATTTGTATGTAAGCGGTCTGTGAGTCGTATAGTTGTTTGTAGATTCCTTCTATTTTGTGTTCGAACGATT